ATACGTGAAAAAGACATGTTAGTGATGCAGGTATTTTTTGGTTGATTAAATAACTCATTAATATAACTGAAAAAGACAAGCATTTAAATAGGATGTTTAATTAATATAACTGAAAAAGACAAGCATTTAAATAGGAAGTTTAATTAAATTCTTAGTGGCATATGAGTGTAAATAAGTTGGAAAACTTAGGGGTATTTTTTAGTGGGTACTTCTCTTTTAATAATAGAGATTATGTTAAGAGATCTTCTTAAGAGACACCATTAAACATGCTCTAATAGGCTAGCATTGTGATGATAGTAGTAGAGTATGTATGATTAGGCAACGCACTTTCACTATGGAATAGTGAATAAAAATCAACTAATATATAGTTATATACAGTATAACAGTAAGATCTTATCATCTACCTTTTCCTATCGATGCTGAAACTTATTAGATAACAAATAAAGTTTAAGCAAAATGCAAAGATTAGGACTGAACTTGAACATTTGTAAACTTATCCTTAATCAAATTTTCTTTGATACAGTTTGGGATTGCTCTGCTTGGGTTAGAACATAACGCACTCTTTCTTGAAGTGGCTTGAATGTTATCGTGCCTAAAAGTATGACATAGAAGCAGAGCGTTTGCCAAAAGCTTCAGATGCTGCTTCCAAGGTTTGTCTCTAGACTTCTCGTCATCAAGAAACAGTCCAACTTTGTTACGATTTTCCCTTTGTTTCAGTTTGTTCTGTAGACGCATAGGGTACAGGATGTTGTCTGGTGAAGATCTGTTAGAACAGTTACCTGATGTGCTGTGCAACAGCTTCCTTTTCGGCTTATCAGATGTCAAGTAGACTTCGCTCTTTGCTTTCTTTCTATTTTTGTTTGCGTGCTAGAGAAGAATTCTTTTTATTTGCCCTGAAGGGGTAGTTTATAGCAACAATCTAATCGAGTATGCTCTTGCTTTGGTGCTTAAAGAAATCTTCAAAATCTGTTATGCTATATCAATGATATATTGAATCATTAATTTTGTAGACATGGTTAGTTACAATGAGGTTATTACATTTCCTGCGTTGGCTTCTCTATGTACTCAAAGACTGTATATCTCTCTGTGTCACTGTAATTCTTTGAGCCGGTCAACAAGTGAGCCGCATGTCAAATGTTACAAGAAGAAATCAAAAACATTTTGCTCTTCAGGCCCATTCTAACAGTCTAAAGCTTGAAGCTTGGGGAAGTGGTTGGGAGATTGCACTAGTCACACCACAGAACAACAATAACAACAACACTCGTCCCACAATAGCAACAAAACTAGTAAAGTCTCTCTCATTCAAAGTTTAGAAACCCATCTCAAATGATTTCTTAGTTTAGTACGTGCAGTGTGAATCACATAAGATCTTTCTCATCACGAAACTTGCATCAGAACTAAGCGAAATCTGTGGTTTTTAGAGCGATAATCGTAGTCAAAGTCTTCAACAACCAAACTCATTTACCAAAGTTTAAGCAAAAAAAAAAAAAACCCAACCAAACCCATTTGCTGTGTATCACATCCCTAGAGTTGAATAGTTGATACTATTATAATCATAAAAAGTCAAACTTTCTAAACTGTGGGAAGCAATCTCGAGGTGAGAGCCAGTGGCTCTTTTAGTAAATAGAGGAGATTTTGAATGTCAAACAAGAGAAGGGTTTATTAGAGCAACTACATCAACAACTCTTGTAAATTTTTTTCATTATTTTATTATTATTATTTTTTTGGTTTAAGTTTAAAAAAATAAAAATAA